TGAGGTTCTTCTCCTAAGAGGAGCTGGCAGATCATGTGATGTCTGGTGTAAAAACACTGCCTCACTCCTCCTGCATTTGCTGCCCTGGGTTTAGGATGTTGGGTCCAGCCTGGCCTGGCCTGACTGTGGTGGGCCAATGGGAGGTGAACCAGCAGATGGAAGGTCTCTCTCTCACTTTGCCTTCTAAATATATAAAAGAGGGGCTGGTGCTGTGGCATAGTGGGTAAAGCTGCCACCTACAGTGCTGGCATCAGGGGTGTGTTTGAGTCCCGGCTGCTCTCCTTCTGATCGAGTCTCTGCTATGGCCTGGGAAAGCAGTGGAGGATGGCCCCAGTCCTTGGGCCCCTGCACCCATGCAGGAGACCCTGAAGAAACTCTGGCTCCTGGCATCCGATCAGCCCAGCTCCAGCCATTGTGGCCATTTGGGGAGTGAACCAGCAAATGGAAGACCTCTCTATCTCTCCCACTAACTCTAGCTTTCAAATAAATAAATAAGTAAAATAATAAATCTTTAAAAATAGAAAAAAGAATAAAAAGCATTTTAGATGGAAGGTAAAAATACTACCACAATGTCAAAATGCTTTATCATAAAAGTTTGTTTTGATATCTGTATCACTACGGGACACATTAATGGCTAGTATCCCTAAGACATCCAAATGAATGTGTTGCTTATTTTCGTAGGAACAAGCCGTCTGTTTCTGGAAATAATGGACACACTAAGGGCTGGGCTTCATGGCAGCAGGTGCCCCTTCCTGACACTTGCTTTGGTCTCTCATTCTCCATCTTCTCTGTATTAACTTTTCTATGTCCCCACATTTTCACTGGAACTTGCATCTTCAACCTGCGAGGCGACAGCAGTGCTGCAGGGCCAGCACCTGTGCCTGTGGACGGCACATTTGTCTTCAAGTCCCCTCAGGCAGAGCTGTCTTAGGAAACGTTCCTGACACACCTGGGAGCCACCAGCCTTGCAAAAGCTAGGCACACCTGAGGGGAGTCCCAGGGCCTCAGGCACCAGCGCTGACACACAGTGGGGCCAACCGACACCTGACGCTTGCTGTAAATGATGTCTGAGGGCAGGGACTCTACCTGGCCTTTCTGATTCCAAAGGCTGACTTGAACTTGTCTTCTTGCACTTTGCTGTGTCTCACCTTTGCCACCGTTGAATCACTGCGTAAGTAGTCACCATCAGGCACATGGCAGTGTTTTCCGGTTGGGGCTCTGAGTGCTGGTATTTAAACTCTGGCACAGGTTTTGGTGACACGGCACAGATCTGTCAGGTATGTACATAGTGGAGGAGCTACGGCATAGAAGCTGCATCTCTGCACCCTGGGGGACACTGCCGGGTTCCTGGAACGCTTGTAGCATTGCACACCCACAGCACGAGCTCCCTTGCATGGCCGCGTCCCTGCCAAATGGTGCTGTCATTCCCATTGTGATTGCCTGACTGCTCTGTGCTTTCAGGCTCCATCTGAGTGTACCTGATTCCTAAAGAACTTGAGCATTGTTGCAGGTGTTGGTCACTGAAGAACCTCTTTTATAGAGACATTAGGGGTGCGTGATGGGGTGCTGTGGGGTGTGGGGAGCAATCCGGACTGGACTAAGTTACTCGAATTAGGACTTATTCTATGCATCTGCTCTCCCACAATATGGCGCTGGGAGAGAAGTAAACAGCTTCCGCACAGCTGCCTCCAGTTCAACTGATAAACTGTAGGACTTGCTCCTGATTGGAGAGCAGCGTACTCGGCGTGTGGGCAGCCGAGTTGGGATTGGCGGAGGAGGACTATAAAGGAGGAGAGAGACGGCATGCACCAGGAACATCTATCGGGAACATCTAAGGGAACCCGTGCAGCCCCCGAGAGAGCCGGCTGGCGGTGTGCCGCTCCCCTGCGGAAGTGGGGAATGTGGCCAGGGGGAACTGCCCTTCCACGGAGGTGGAAGGGATAGTAGCCAACCCGGGAAGAACCAGCAGAAACCCGGGGAGGGCCGAGCAGACGAAAGAACAGTGCAGGGTCCTGTGTCGTTCCTCCACGAAGAGGGGGAGCGACAGTGGGGTAGGCCGTTGCTTGGGACAGCTGCATGCCATATTGGTGTGCTACGCTGCTTCCCATCTGGCTCCCTGCTAGTGCAACCTGAGAGGTAACGGACGCTCAGCTCAAGTGCTTGGGTCCCTGCCGCCCACACCGGAGATCTGGATGTAGTTCTGGGCTCCTGGCCCCTGCCTGGCCCAGCCCTAGTTGCTGCAAGCATATGGTCCCATCAGCAGATAGATCTCCCACTCACCTTGCCTTTCAAACAAATAGTTATTTTTAATTTATTTTAAAACATTGTTGCTGGGGCCGGCACTCAGCTTAGCGGGTAAAGCTGCCACACCTGCAGGGCCGGCATCCCATATGCGTGCTGGTTTCAATTCCCGACTGCTCCACTTCCGGTCCAGGTCTCTGCTATGGCCTGAGGAAGCAGTAGAAGATGGCCCAAGTCCTGGGGCCCTGCACCCGCGTAGAGACCTGGAGGAAGCTCCTGGCTTCAGGTGCAGGGCCTGTGCTGACACAGATGTGACCAAGTGCAGGGCCTGTGCTGAGCCAGACGTGACCACGGGTGCAGGGCCTGAGCTGACCCAGGTGTGACCACGGGTGCAGGGCCTGTGCTGACCCAGGTGTGACCACGGGTGCAGGGCCTGTGCTGACCCAGACGTGACCACGGGTGCAGGGCCTGTGCTGACCCAGGTGTGACCACAGGTGCAGGGCCTGAGCTGACCCAGGTGTGACCACAGGTGCAGGGCCTGAGCTGACCCAGACGTGACCACGGGTGCAGGGCCTGTCCTCACCCAGACGTGACCACGGGTGCAGGGCCTGTGCTGACACAGATGTGACCAAGTGCAGGGCCTGTGCTGACCCAGACGTGAACACGGGTGCAGGGCCTGTGCTGACCCAGACGTGACCACGGGTGCAGGGCCTGTGCTGACCCAGACGCGACCACGGGTGCAGGGCCTGTGCTGACCCAGACGCGACCACGGGTGCAGGGCCTGTGCTGACCCAGGTGTGACCACGGGTGCAGGGCCTGTGCTGACCCTGGTGTGACCACGGGTGCAGGGCCTCTGCTGACTCATGTGTGACTGCACTGCAGAGACTGTACTGAATATCCACCCTGTTAAAACCATCTACCAGGGCGAGCATTGTGCCCACCTCGTTCAAGTCCAGCTTCCTCCACTTCCCAACCAGCTTCCTGCTAATTTGCTCCTAGGAGGAGCAGGTGAGGGCCCAAGTTCCGGGGTCTCTGCCACTGATGGGGAAACCCAGACTGGGCTCCGGGCTCTCCGGCCTCGGCACGGCCCACTGTGGGTATCTGAGGAGTGAACCAGCTAGTGGAAGCTGTTTCTCTCTCTGCAATTGCGTTTCTAATAAGTGAAAACAAACACACACAAATTTAAGAAGGAAAAATGAAAGCCGCCTCGCCTGGGTGAGGGTCAGAGGGCGCACCCCCGCGTCACCCCCTCTCCTGCACTCTGTCCCACCACTGGCTGCTGAGCCCCCAGGGCCCACGCCTGGCTCTTTGGCCCCTGAGCCAGTTGGGAGACGCAGCCTTTGCTTGTCCCTCCTGGCCCTGGCCAAACTCCGCACCTGCTTCCCCGCGGCCCCGTCACAGAACGGAGCAAACAGGTCCCCAGGGCTGGTGTGTGGAGCTGAGTGGAGCTGAGCTTCTCTGCCCTGCTCTCACTGCCCGGAGGACGGCTCAGGGTGGGGGCAGACGCGAGGTCCCCGGCCATGCAGGAAGCAGCAGCCAGCCGCAGCCTGCCCAGGGGGCCGCTGCTCTGCCTGCCGCTGGCTTAGCCGTCCAGGGAGCAGCTGCAGACAGGGCGGCGGGAGCTGACCCAGGGCCAGCTTCTCCCCTGGGCTGCACCAGGGGCCCCCGGCGGCTGGGCGAGGCCTGGTCCCCAGCCTCACTGGCCAACTCACCAGGACCTCCTGGGTGAGAACAGGTGTCGGGGGTCCTGTCCGCTGCCGGGGCTCCCCCACTCAGCCACAGTTGAGAGCTGCGGTTCTGCAGTCAGCGCCTCTCACCTGTTCCCCTGGCACCTCAGGAGGCAGGAAGCTTTGCTCTGGGTGAGAAGTCAGGGCTTTGCCTTGGGCGCAGAGATCATCATTCAAAGATGGAGACATGCCAGCAATCGGGTGCTTAGCAACCGGTTAAACACGAATTCTCACCCTAAATACAACCGCAGCATCCGGACTCATCTTACTTTACAAAATACTTCCTTGCTCAAAGGATTTGTGTCAGGAGCCCGACTGTCAGATGATGTCGCCGCCTACTGGCCGCGAGCGAGATTGCAGCCCGGCCAGAACAGGAGAGAGGAGGGAGAGCCCTGAGCCCCATGCAGGAGACCCTGGATTCCAGCTTGGGGTTGCGCCCTTTCCCGCCCCCAGCGCTGTGGGCCGCAGGGACTGGGGCCCGCGCCTGACGCGGGGCCTGAACGCCACTTAGTGTTGAATCACATTGTGCCTCAATACAGAGAAGAATAAAGTACGGGAAGTAAGAACTCAGAATATTGGTGGAGTAATTTTTTTTGACTACTTTTTACTTGTTGAATGCTATGGTTAGTGGTACATTAAGCCTGTGATTGAAATCATGAAATCACTTACATGAAATCATTGAAATCATGCTTTTGCAAAAATGAAAGAAAAAAAGGAAGGAAGCAAGGATAGAGGAGGGGGATTGATGGGGGAGGGAACGTGGCTGTCTTCTTGGAATTGTACCTATGAAATACATGAAATCTGTTCTCTTTATATAAATAAAAAATTAACAATAAAATGATAAAAGAAGCACAAAAATAATTGCTGGGACATCAACGTTAACTTTTCAACTGACAGAAGAACTCTAATTCTTGAATCTACATGATTGAGACATTTCCAAATAGTTGATTTTGAAGAACGGAGATGTAATGGGGGAGGGGATTCTTGGATAGTTCGCCATAAACTATTTTGGATTTTTCAAGAATAAAAATGTTGTATTTTTTAACATTTATTTCTTTATCTGAAAGAGTTACAGAGAGAGAAGGAGAGACAGAGAGGGAGGTCTTCCATCCTCTGTTCACTCCCCCAATGGCAGCAGTGGCAGGGGCTGGGGTCAGCCTGAAACCAGGAGCCAGGAGCTTCATCCAGGTCTCTTAGGTGGGTGCAGGGGCTCCAGCGCTTGGATCATCTTCTGCTTCTCCCAGGCTCATTAGCAGGGAGCTGGATCAGGAGTGGAGCACCTGGTATGGGATGCTGGTGTCGCAAGCAGTGGCTGAACCCGCTGCACCACAATGCTGGACTGATGGGGTAATCCTAAAAGCCTTCGTGGGTTGAAGCAAAGCACCACAGAGTTAAGGATCCACGGTACTGGAAACCCCTCCAAGTGTCTGAGTCCTGCTTTGCTGTCCAAGTCTTAAAAGAAAAAATGTCAACCCAGAATACTGTACCCTGCAAAGCTTTCATTTAACAATGAGGGTGAAATAAAGACCTCCCATAACAAACAAAAACAAAAAATTTGTCACTAACTGGTCCAGCCTTACAAATGATGCTTAAGGGTGTGCTACACAGAGAAACACAGAAAGATAGTCATCATTATAAAACAATTGAAGGCAGAACATCTCACAGTAAGAGTACAAAGGAAATACAAAACAAACAATAGGAATATTTACATAACATGGCAGGGCCAAATTGCCACTCATCATTAGTCACCTTGAATGTAAATGGCCTAAATTCTCCAATTAAAAGATACAGACTGGCTGAATGGATTTAAAAGCAAGATGCATCTACTTACCATCTACAAGCAAGGTACCTCACCAACAAAGATACACACAGACTGAACGTGAAAAGATAGAAAGAGATAAAGAGATATTCCACACCAACAGAAAGCAGAAATGAGTAGGCATAGACATCCTAGTATCAGACAAAATAGACTTTAATACAACTGCTAAGAGAGACAAAGAAGGGCACCTTGTAATCATGAAGGGATCAAGTCAACAGGAAGAAGTGACTGTAGTAAATGTATAAGCCCCAGGGGCCTGGCTATTTAACACTCTAATACAATAGAGATGGGGGACTGCAACACTCACCTCCCTCAGTGGACAGATCAGCTGATCAGAAAGTCAAACAAGCAACAGCGCTAATGGACACTATGACCAAATGCACCTAACTGACATCTAGATACTTTCATCCCACGGGTGCAGAATACACATTCTTTCATCAGTGCATGGAACTATCTCTAGGATAGACCACACGTTAGGCCATAAAGTAAGTCTCAGAAAATTCAAAAAAAAATTGAAACTATACCATCTGTCTTTTGTGACCACAATTGAATGAAGCTGAAAATCAACAACTCAAGAATATCTAGAATATATGCAAACACATGGAGACTGAACCACATACTCCTGAATGAACAGTGTGTCATAAAATAAATCAAAAGAGAAATAAATAAAATTTCTGGAAACAAATGAAGATGACAATGCAACATATCAAAACTTCTGGGATATAGCAATTAGTGCCTATATCAAGAAATTGGAAAGGCATCAAATAAGTGAGAGGTAAATGATCTCAAGGATTTAGAAAACAGCAAACCAAACCCAAAATTAGTAGGAGAAAAGAAATAATTAAAATTAGAGAAGAAATAAACAAAACTTAATGCAAAAATAATAAAAAAGATCAGTGAAATGAGGAACTGCTTTTTTTTGAAAAAATAAACAAAATTGAGACATCATTGGCCCAACTAACCAAAAAAGAGAGGAAGAAGACCCAAATCAGAGATCAAAATGTAAATGTAGAGGCCAGCACTGTGGCACAGTGGGTAAAGCTGCCGCCTGCAGTGCCAGCATCCCAATTGGGTGCGAGTTCAAGTCACAAAAAATAGCAAAATCTTCCATGTTTGTGGATTGTAAATTAATATTATCCAAATGTCCATACCACCAAAAGCAATTTACAGATTCAATGCACTGCCAATCGAAATACCAATGACATTCTTCTCAGCTCTAGAAAAAGCTATGCTAAAATTCATATGGAAACACAAGAGTCCCCAAATAACTACAGCAATCTTATACAACAGAAACAAAGCCAGAGATGTCACAATACCGGATTTCAATACATACTCCAGGCAGTTCTAATCAAAACAGCTTGGTACTGACACATAAATAGACATGTAGATCAATGGAACAGAATAGAAACTCCAGAAATCAGTCCATGCATCTATAATCAACTAATCTTTGACAAAGGAGTTAAAATCAATCCCTGGAGAAAGGGCAGTCTCTTCAACAAATGGTGCTGGGAAAATTGGATCTTCATATGCAGAAGTATGAAACAAGCCCCTAATTAACACCCTATACAAAAACCAACTCAAAATGGATCAAGGATCTGAATCTATAACCTGATACTATCAAATTACCAGAGGAAGCATTGGGGAAACTCTACAAGGCATTGGCATAGGCAAGGACTTCTTGGAACAGACTCCAGACGCACAGGAATTAAAGCCCAAAATAGACAACTGGGACTACATCCAACTGAGAAGCTGCTGTATTGCAAAAGCTTCAGCAAAGGAAAGAGGCAACTGACAGAAATTATTTGAAAACTATACAACTAATAAAGGATTAATATCCAGAATATATAAAGAGATCAAGAAACTCAACAATAAAACAAACAGTACAGTTAAGAAACAGGCAAAGGATCTGAACATATTTCGAAAGAGGAAATTCAAGTGGCCAACAGACACATGAAAAACGCTCAGGATCACTAGCCCTCAGAGAAATGTAAATCAAAACCACAATGAGATCCCCTCATTGTCAGAATGGCTTCCATACAGAAATCAACAAACAACACATGCTGGCAAGGATGTGGGGAAGGGTACCCTAATCCACTGTTGGAGGGATTGTAGACTGGTATAGCCACTATGGAAGACAGTATGGAGATACCTCAGAAAGCTGAAAATGGACCTACCATATGACCCAGCCATCCCGCTCCTGGGAATTTACCCAAGGGGAATGACATCAGCATATGGAAGAGTGATCTGTACCCCCATGTTTATTGCAGCTCAATTCACAATAGCTAAGCTATGGAATCAACCCAAATGTCCATCAACTGATGACTAGATAAAGAAATTATGAGATATATATACACTATGGAATATTACTCAGCCATAGAAAGAATTAAATCCTGTCTTTTGCAACAAAATGGGTGCAACTGGAAACCATCATATTTAGGGAAATAAGCCAGTCCAAAAAGACAAATACCATATGTTTTCCTTGATCTATGGTCACTAATAAAATACCAAAAATGTAATGTATAGGACTGAAATTGACATTTTGAGCTTTGATGATTGTTTACAGCCCTTGTCTCTACTATTTAGGAACAGTGATTTTTCTTCTTACTATGTGTTGAACCCTTTACTTAGTATAGGGCTAATCTTATGAGTATAAAGTAAATTGAAAGTAGATCATTGTAAAAACTAAGAGAGGGATAGAGAGGAAGGTGGAGGGAAGGCGGGAGCCTAGGCAGGAGGGAGGGTGGGGTGGGAAGTATCACTGTTAGTAAATCTGTACATGAAATTCATGAAATCTGTATACCTTAAATAAAATGTAAAACAAACAAGAGGCAATAAAACAACTGGGAACACACTCACACAATACAGGAGCAACTGAATACCCACAAATGGGAAGGCAGAAGCACAGTAATGCAGCAACAATAGGGGACAATGGAGAGGCCACCAGACATAAAGTCACCAGGAAATACCGGGACTGAACTACACTGTGAACCAAAGAGACCCACGAGGCACACGCAGCGCATGCTGCCCAACAGCAGTGTCAGCCACGTGGAACAGTCTCCATGATAGGTCACTTGGGAGGCCACAAAACAAGGCTCACCAAGTTCAAGAACACTGAGATAATTGTATTTTCCAACCACAATGCTATGATGATAGACATCAACCACAGGAGAAAAATAGAAATTTTTAAGGGAAAGATTTATTGTTGGGTGGGGGAAACCCAATGGGCCCAAGGGAGGGGGCAAAGAAGAGAGAAGAGTGAAGAAGAGGGTGCGTGTGTGGGAAGGGGGTCCTGTTATACCCTTTGTCAGGTGCAGGGAAACAGGAGCAGCGAATCCCGTTAGGGTGGGGGGTAGAGCTGACACCTGTGCTTGGGCCTTCTGGTCACCTGCCGTCCAGAAATGGTGGCAGGGCCTAGAGCCTAGGATAGTGTCTGGGACATAAACTGGACCACAGACAAGACCATGCTATTTTACTAACAATAATTAGATGAAATTTCCAACTTAATCCATCGACTAGAAATATTCATCTATTAACCGTTAACATAAAACATTGAAGTTTAAACAACCGAATCAGGTTGGGAAGCCAAGTTCTGTTCAATCCATAACAGTATCCTATCTTAATATTCTGAAATCTAGAAAGTAAATTAGAAAGTTAACCACAACCAACACACCCTATATAACATCACAAGGGCAAATGTAATCAGAAAAAAGAATTAGCTAGTTAATTAAAAAAAATGGATCAACAACAGAGTAGTAAGGGCAAATAAGATAGCTTCTGCCTTCTGGATTCTTCAGTTAGTAAGGAGACTAAACATACTCCATAGACTCACATCGGATTTCCTAGGTCTGGTTTACATTCTTCTGAAAAATAGGAAATTGACAATCTGTGAACGTAAAGCCAAATGCTACAGAATAAACAATAAGGTAAAGAGAAAATTACAAGGAATTAAAAGAAACTTTAGACAATAAAAACAGAAATACAAGATATTCAAATTTGTGGGATACAGTAAAAGAAATTCCAAGAAAGAATAGAAAGCAATAAAACAAATACTTTAAAGAGAAGAAATATCTCAAATAAACAAACTAAAATCCCACCTCAAGAAAGCAGAAAAAAGAATGAACAAAGAGCAAGTAGAAGAAAGAAAATTATGAAGTCAGAGCAGAAACAAATAAAACAACAGAACTGATCAACAATGCAAAGAGGGGTAAAAACACTGACAACACTGCAGTCAGTCAGAGGACACAGAGAGAGAAGTGCAGACTCAGCAACGCGGGGAGCTATCACAACAGATGCAACAGAAAGACACAGCGGCCGTGAAGGCACTGTGCAAAGGTGTGCGCTGTCAGACGGGGGAATCTGGAAGAGGTGGAAAATCTTAGACACCTCTCTGCCAAGACTGCGCATGAACAGAACATCAGAACAGACCAATAACGAGTAACAGGATTAAATCACTAAAACCCTCCAAAGACATTCCCAGGTTGGCTGGCTTCAGGGTAAGTTTTTAAAGAGTTAATGCCATGCTTTCATGAACTCTTCTGAAAGGCGTGGCAGAGCAGGGGACGCTTCCACACTCATGTCATAAAGCCAGAACCACCTGATACCTAAGCCATTCAAGGACATCACAAGAAAAGAAAATTGCGGATCATTAATCATGATGACCGTATATGCAAATATCCTCAACAGGATACTGGCAAAGACGCTTCACCATGACAAGTGGGATTTGTCCTTGTAATTTAAGGAGAGTTCAACATAAGTAAGTCAGGAAGTGTGATCCCTTCCACTAACAGAAAAATAAAAACATGACAGTATCAGCAGTTGCAGAGAATGCACTTCACACATTTCCGGATTCTTTTATGATTAAAAAACCTGTCATCAAACTAAGTACAGAGGGAGGTACTCACCACGATAGAGGGCGCAGCGGCCAGCTCTCAACCAGCCTCCTACTCCGTGTGACGAGCAGGAAGCTCTTCCTCTGCAGATCAGGAACAAGCCACAGCCTGGTTCTCACCTGCTGTGGTCAACACAGCGTCCTAGCCAGAGCAGTCAGGCAACAGAAGCAAGTGTAACGCATCCACATGGACAAGCAAGAAGCGACGCTGTCTCTGTTAACAGGCAAAAAATGAAGGTATACACAGAGCATTCTAAAGACTCCATCAAAAAGGGTTTACCATTTGGAACCGGTAAGGGCAGTAAAGTTGCAGGATACAGAATCAACATACAAGCATCAGCAGTGGTCATCGCAGGTCAACAGGATGACTGGCTAGAGGTGCAGCTCTGCTGACCCAGCCCTGTGAACCAGCCCATGGCCCCACCTACCCGACTAGGGCCCTGGGAGGCCCCTGGGTGACCCACCCTGAGGGGCTCCACCTGCAGGGGCTGCAGGAAACAGCTGGGCGGCCCCACCCGCACGCTGCTGCTGCCCTGGAAGCCATGAGGCAGCCCCGCCACCCACTCAGGAGCCAGGAGGGGCAGAGCAGGTGTCCAGGAAGCAGCTGAGCGGCCCTGGCCTTCATCCTGTGTCCCCAGCAGGCTGCGATGAAAAGGCTGGGTGCTCACAGCTGAAGAGACGCTTCACATCGCCGGGGGAGTGTACAGAGTGCAGCTGCTGCGGGGAATGGCACGGAGCTCCTCGGAAAGCCGGAGCAGAACCAGCACAGGACCCAGCCACGCCCCCAGCGCCCATGCGTTCACGGGGACGCGGGTCGGGCCGCTGAGGAGACACCTGCGCTCCCACGGTCTGCAGCACTGTTCTCAGCAGCCGGGTGAGGAGTCAGTCTCGGGGCCCATTAACAGACAAAGAATAAACACACACATGCACGCACACGCATGCACACATGCACACACATGCACACACGCACACACGCACACATGCACACGCACTGCTGTACTCTTCAGCCTTATAAATAAGGACGTCCTGGCATTCGTGCCAACACGAGGAAGCTGCAGGGCATCACGCTAACTCTAAAAAGCCCAGCACGGGACAGACCCACAGTCTCTCTTACACAGGAAAGCTGAGAGGTTTCCACCCAGGGAGTGGACAACGGTGACCACAGGGGATGGAGAGCTGATGACCAAAAGGCTCAAGCCTTCAGGGAGACGAGAGTGAGCCGGGCCTGCTGTGGGCAGGGTGCCTGCACTCACGGGTCGCGGACGGTGGGGCTTCAACAAATCACCACCTCATCGTAAAAGAGTGCTGACGCTGTATCATCAGCTTAATTATTCCACATCACGCGTGTACATCACATTTTCCTCATCAGTGCATCCAAAGACACAGGATTAATGTATCCAGATTATATAGAAGTTATAAAAATACTAAATAAAATATAAAATTGGCGATATAAAACAGAAGGATTACAAATGTAATCATAGCTATATATATAGTTATTGAGAAAGACTTAACTGAGAAGTTAGCTAAATTCTATGCTGAATCCCAAAGATAGCACAAAACACAGAAAATGTGAATGGATTGGAAAAAAGCTTACACAAATGTGAAAGTTAACCGGAATGAAGTACAAATGCGACATGAACATCAGAGGGGCAGACAAAGAGGCCGCTGCCTGGGACGCCTGCACCCCTAGCCTGGGGGCCTGGGCTGGAGCTCCCCCTCCGCTTCTGTGCACCCTGGGGGCAGCAGGTGACCGCTCAGCTACATGGGTCCCTGCCACCCAAGCAGGAAACCCGGATGAGTCCCTGGCTCTTAGCTTCAGCCTGGCCAGCCCTGGCTATTGTGGGTGCTTGGGAAGCGAGCCTGCAGGTGGAAGACATCATAGCTTCTCTCTGCTTTCCAAATAAGTAAAATTAAGCACATGCACTGTGGAGTGTTAGTATCAGAAAAGGTAGTCGGCAGGTGCGCTGGCTGCGGGTCTGAGAGGAAGCCGTGAGGCTGCACGGGAGGCCGCGCTGAGCCAGCAGGAACCCGGGTGGGAGACTGCGCGTTGCCTGACGGGGCGGCACGCCCGGGCGCTGCTCGTGGCAAGGCGGGAAGCCACAATTAAGAGTAGGATCTCGGGTGCCCAGTGCTTCAAGATCCAAGGTTCCAAAGAAGGAGACACCCAGCAGGAGTGGCGTTTGGTTTCTGGGTCCCTGTGAGGTGCAGGGTCAGTGTGAGAACCATCGGTGGGGCCGGCCCTGGTGAGGGCAGCGGACTCACAGGACAGGGTAAACCAGGCGGCGTTTCCAGAGGAGGCGACGCCGACAGGCCGAGCTCATCAAACGCCCGGCACTGTTGACAGAACGGTGTGTGCATTGCATTGTTTGTTCATCTAGAACTCTTACTAAAAATATCCTTAGGCTACTGTGTTTAATTGGAGTCCCGCAGGTCATCGTCCCTCAGGGATCCCATAGGGGTTTGTGCTCAAGCCCGAGCCGCTGACTTGAGAGCTGCGCAGATTGTCCCTGTCGGCAGTCCCTGTCGGCTCTACCAGCGAGGCTGCATAAAGCCCCCGCAGGCCCCGTGGCCAGAGTGCAGAGGCGCTGCCGGAAGCCGCTGAGCCCGGCGACAGTTAGGCCACTGCAGAGCGAGGGCAGGTGCACAGACCTCGGCCGAGGCCAGAGCACTGAAGGTAGGAAACGCGGCAGGGACCCTGCTGACCCCCGCTCCGTGTGCTAACAGCCCCTCCCTGACAAGGTGAAGGCCAGCCAGGTAAGCAACCTCACAGCTCTACACTGGTGTCCCCCGCGTGTGCTTGTGACAGGTTAGAACGGAGTGCTCTGTGTCTGCACGTGGCCAGGTGCGACGCCGAGGCCGTGCTGAGCTGTGGATCCACAGAACCCTGTGCGCACACTCTTGCCCGCCGCCTGAAAATGGTCTGGCACGGTTTTCTTGTCAATTGCCTATGAAGCAGCAGGTCAGAGCTGTCCATTTTAAGTGTTCATATTTTGTTATTATTTATGCACACATGCAAATAATAGCTCATACACACCTGCAAATAACATGCATGCAAATACATATGTGTAAATGCACACATGCAATCATACATGCAAATACTAGCAAACTGAGAGCAATGGCTGTCTCAGGTGCTGGACTCAGCATTCTGTTTACTGTGGTCAACCACATGACATGGAATACATGCTGAGGGTCTAAGCATTCCTCTCCTGGCACAGCACACACTCACGGCGCCGTGCAGTCCTTACTGCGATCCAGTTCCAGAAAGCTTCCCCCGGTTTCCTGGTGGGGAGGGGTAGAACTGAGGTGCTTGTTTATGCACAGGGCTGAATGTTTCTAATGCACCCCTCCCCTGACCCCCCCACCTCTCCCTGCTCCCTCCCTCACCCCTCCCTGCTCCCCACTCACCTCTCCCCGACCCTGATTACCACAATGAATGAGAAACACGTTGTGATCTTGAGAACAGAATGGGTGTAAGAATGAAAGGCAAAGGAGGAATGGCATCCCACTCAAGGCTCTGGGATGCCGGCCCTGCTGCCCTCCGTGTCCTGATTGTCCTGCCTCACCCCTCCTCCTCCACACCTCGGATGTCAGGCTCAGAGCCCCGCTTCCGTTGGGGTGCGTAAATGTGAGCCCAGTTCCTGCAGCACCGGTGTGGCTGCTCACACGTGTGAGCCAGGCAGATGTGGGGAGCGCTGGCCAGGGCTCTGTCTGGTAAAGTCATTGGGGCCACTGGGCATCTTACAGAAGAGCTGTCAGGCACCTCAGGTGGGCACAAAAGCCTGGAGTCGGGGAAGCAGGGAGGGGTGAGTGGGAGTGCAGGGGAGAGATGAGTGGGGGTACAGGGGAGGTGTGAGTGGGGAGCAGGGAGGGGTGAGTAGGGGAACAGGGAGTGGTGAGTGGGGGTACAGTGAGGGGAGAGTAGGGGTGCAGGGGAGGTGTGAGTAGGGAGCAGGGAGGGGTAAGTAGGGAGCAGGGAGAGGTGAGTGGGGGAGCAGGGAGAGGTGAGTGGGGGAGAAGGGAGAGGTGAGGGGGAGCAGGGAGAGGTGAGGGGGAGCAGGGAGAGGTGAGTGGGGGAGCAGGGAGGAGTGAGTAGGGAGCAGGGAGCAGTGAATGGGGGTACAGCGAGGTGAGAGTAGGGGTGCAGGGGAGGTGTGAGTAGAGAGCAGGAAGGGGTGAGTAGGGAGTAGGGAGAGGTGAGTGGGGGAACAGGGAGGGGTGAGTGGGGGAGCAGGGAGGGGTGAGTAGGGAGAAGGGAGAGGTGAGTGGGGGAGCAGGGAGGGGTGAGTAGGGAGCAGGGAGCGGTAAGTTGGGGAGCAGGGAGGGGTGAGTGGGAGAGCAGGGAGGGGTGAGTAGGGAGCAGGGAGAGGTGAGTAGGGAACAGGGAGAGGTGAGTGGGGGAAAAGGGAGAGGTGAGTGGGGGAGCAGGGAGAGGTGAGTGGGGAACAGAGAGAGGTGAGTGGGGGAGCAGGGAGGGGTGAGTAGGGAGCAGGGAGGGGTGAGTGAGGGAGGAGGGAGGGGTGAGTAGTGAGCAGGGAGAGGTGAGTGGGGGAGCAGGGGGGGTGAGTAGGGAGCAGGGAGGGGTGAGTAGGGAGCAGGGAGAGGTAAGGTGGGAGCAGGGAGAGGTGAGTGGGGGAGCAGGGAGAGGGGAGAGGTGAGTGGGGAACAGGGAGGGGAGAGTAGGGAAGCAGGGAGATGTGAGTGGGGGAGCAGGGAGAGGTGAGGGGGGAGCAGGGAGAGGTGAGTGGGGGAGCAGGGAGAGGTGAGTGAGGGGGCAGGGAGAGGTGAGTGGGGGAGCAGGGAGAGGTGAGTGGGGGAGCAGGGAGAGGTGAGTAGGGAGCAGGGAGAGGTGAGTAGGGAGCAGGGAGAGGTGAGTGGGCGAGCAGGGAGGAGTGAGTAGGGAGCAGGGAGAGGTGAGTAGGGAGCAGGGAGGGGTGAGTGGGGAACAGGGAGAGGTGAGTGGGGAACAGGGAGAGGTGAGTGGGGAGCAGGGAGGGGTTTGTAGGGAGCAGGGAGGGGTGGGTATGGGCGCCTTGCTGGGGCAGACTGAGGTCAGAGGAGCCTTGACAATGACAAGCAAAGGGACTCCTCAGGTCCAGATTTAAGGTAAAAGCGCGCGCCCACATGCACAGACGCACCGTTGGGCCCTACTGCCCAAGGAAACACCTCGCACCCGGAGGGAAGCGGCTTAGGCAGAACTTAGCTGGCGGTGGGGGAGTGTTCTTTCTACCGTGAGGGCTTTCCTTGCCAGCGGTCTGCCTTCTGCCCTCTCCACACCGAGCCCGGCCTGGCTGGCCAGGCTCCTGGCAAGCTGCCTGGGACACACCCGGCACCTCATGGGCGGTTTTCTGCAGACAGCTGCCTTCAGGAGGAGCCGGGGCAGGCCAGACCCGGTGTGTCCCGGACGTAAGAGAGGTGGCTCGGGTGAGACACTAGAGGAGGCCGCTACAGAGCACGGGGAGAACGAGGCTGGGAGAGCTGTGTGCGCGCCCGAGGCCCCTCGGCTGCGGGACGCAGGGAGTCACGGAGGGACGAGCGGTAACTCACGGGGCGCCCCTCTGCTCCTCTGTACACAGGTGAACGCAGGACGGGCTCCGTTGCATCAGCTACCGCGAGAGCACGTCAGAGGCGCCTGAGCGTGGGTTTGAGGCAGAGGCTTGCAGCTTACACGGAGCAGGGCGGTGCCTGCTCCTAGAACTCGCGGTCTTTGTGACCCGTCCCTTTCCAAGTGAGGCCGTGGACTTGGACCCATGAGCAGAGGGAATGAGACGACAGGCTCGGAGTTTGTGCTCCTGGGACTCTTCCCGGGCGTGCCACACCCGGGCATCCTCATGTGCCTCACCGTCCTGAGCTACGTCCTAGCCCTGGCCTGCGAACGCCACCCTGACCGTCCTCATCACGCTGGACGCCCGGCTCCACAAGCCCATGTACTTCCTCCTCAGCCAGCTGGCCCTGCTGGACCTGCTCTTCACATCCACCACCGTCCCCAGGACGGCCGCCGCCTTCTTCCTGGGGACCAAGACCATCTCCAGCACGGGCTGTGGGACGCAGCTGTTTTTCTGCCTCGCGCTGGGGGGAGCAGAGTGCCTGCTCCTGACTTGCATGGCCTGCGACCGTTACGTGGCCATCTGTCGCCCTCTGCGGTACCCTGTCCTCATGAACGGGAAGACCTGCCTGTCGATGGCCGTGGGGTCCTGGGTGGGGGGCAGCCTCAATTCCCTAGTGCAGACTGTGTATACCATGTGTTTGCCCAAATGCGGCCGCCTGGAGATTGACCACTTCTTCTGCGAGGTCATGGCCGTTCTGAGGCTCTCCTGTGGGGACACCTTGACGTACAGGTTGACGATACTTGGGGTGGGCATTGTGCTGCTGCTGGTTCCCTTTGGCGTCATCTTCTCCTCCTACGCCATCATCTTCCTCACTGTCCTGCGCATGAGTTCCCGTGAGGGGAGGCGGAAAGCGCTGGCCACCTGCTCCTCCCACCTGGTGGTGGTGAGCCTCTTCTACGGTCCCACTGTCGTCACCTCCATGACCCCCGGTTCCACACACAGCCCGCCCAGGACCAGGCCGTGTCTGTGTTCTTTGCAGTCGTCACCCCCACGCTGAACCCCTTCGTTTACAGCCTGAGAAACAGAGACGTCTTAGAGGCATTGAGGAGGGCTTTGAGACCCACAGCGCTCTTATCTCCTACAGTCCTGTGACCGTTTGGTGATGGCTGTGTAAGTCATCAACCCCACAGCCCGCCATGCCTGCCTCTTAAGCACGGCCGGCCGGTCTGACTCCTGAGGACGCAGTCACTTGCTGACACTGCTCGGGCAACCCAGGCACATGTCTTTGGTGTGTTAGGTCACTTTTGTTTTTTCCCCTCTGCTGATATTTTTATCCTGAATGACAGCGCAGTGGGTGCTGGCTTGCTCATGCCTTTCACAATGCTTATGTCACACGTACTCACGGCAAACTCACAAAGGCAGAGAACAGGATGGTGGTTACGAGAGCCTGGGGTTCAAGGGCAAGGGGAGAGGGCGAGGGTGAGGGCACTGCATCTCAGACAGGAGGGGCAGGCCCAGTGACCTACCGCACAGTGGTGAGCACAGCTAATGAGCACACGTCCTGCTCCCAAAACTGCTGCAGGTGCAGACTGCAAGCTTCACCCCAAAAAGAAGAGGAAATGAGATGAAGTGATGGGTAAGCTAACTAGCTGGATTTAATCTTTCTGTAATGTACACAAACTGCATAAGTAATACAATCACAACTTATAAATTGAAAAATCAAATGACCTGACAGGTGAACGTTTATTCTTGGAAGGATTAACAATAGAAAGAACGCTTGCCCATCGTTGTTGGGACTCCACACCCAGCCACTGCTGGCGGCACTGAGGCTCCTCAGGACAGCTGAGGCGGCGCTGCCCACGGTCAGCAGCCCCACACGCAGGGGCTCGCGGGGAGCGGAAACCGATATACTGAAGCACACTCACTCTCCCGTCTCACAAGAGCCAAGGCATGGAGCCAACCCAACTGTCCATCCCAGATGGATGGCTAAGGAAATCCCTGCATGAGGTCACACAGTGGGTAGGAAGGCACTAGATTCTGTCACTTAAGACAAGACGCTCGGGTGAGCGTGAGTGAGATGAGCCAGGCTCAGAGAGACAAATCCTGCAAGGCCTCACTCACCTAGGGGACCCAAAACCGTAGATTCCTATGAGCAGCCCAAGTAGGTAGCAGAATGGAGGTTAGCAGGGCTGGGACGCATGTATGAATTTCAAACATTTTTACCATAAAAACATTTCTAATTCCATTTTTCCATGAATTTTTCAAAGCACCCATATACTTCATAACATCATGTTGTACAAAATAATGTTATCAGTCAATTTAAGAATTCAAACACCAAAAAGGGCTTCAAGGCCAGAAATTAGTAAATTTACTGAGATATGTAAGTATTAGGCAAACAGAAAAAGCAAGTTAATGCTGTAACTTCGACATCATTTAAGTAAATAGGCAGGTCAGACGCTCATCGGACACGTGGCATGACCACAGTGCGCGTAAGCTGTGCTTGGGGGGGGGCTTTGCTCTCCTTCATTTTTGGGGTGCAGTTTTCTGTATGCTCCCCAGAGGCTCCCCGAGGCCAATACCCTGTCCACATTGGTGTGGTCCGTGCCTGGTCATCCCACCCAGGCACTGAGCCCAGCGTCTGCAAGCACGTGCTCCCGGAAACTGCACCCCCCCAGGGAGCGGCGGCCTCTCCCCCACCCGGGTTGCACCTGGCCAGGACTGGACCCTGGGACCACACGTAGATACAGTCCCAATAACGGGCACGACCCCATGGAAGTGACAGGTGCTGAGATGACCACACGTGGGAGCCAGGCGAGGGAAGGCTGGTGTGAGGCACAGAGATCCCGGCAGGACGGCGGGGTGTCGTAGCAGGGTCCCCTGGGCCCCCCGAGTCCCCATGGTTTCTTCAGCACTGACTGCTGTTGGGAAGCCCTCCTGAGCCCTGCCGCCGTGGCGAGGAAGCTGGATGCGCGGCTCCGTCGCTGAGGGTGGTGCATGGGGAAGATGAGGAACAGAGCCACGGATCCCCTGCCAAGGACAAGTCTCCTGAGAAGAGATGGGCCTTGGAGGCTCACGCCCCGATGGGCTGTTAGCACGCCCCAACCTGGCCCATCCTCAGTGGAAGGAGAGAAACGGAGCCCAGTGCTGACGGGCTGGGCACGGGTGCTCTCCTGCCACAGCGCTGGTGGGAGTAGTTTCCCTCGTTTCTGGGGAAGACTGGATAGTCTAGATTTCGTGAAAGCAGAACTCTGTGTGTTAATTTCCCCAGCCCCAGAACCTAGAGGGTCACTTTGGACATACAAGTCTCAGTCAACAGACACTTGGCCAAATGGACACTACGTGTCGGGTCCTGTTGTCACAGGAGTTCTGGGGTTGGCGTGCGGGAGGCGTGCGGGAGCAGTGGCCGCAGTCTGCTGCTCCACCACTCAGGTCTGGGTCTCTTCCCCACGAGGGGTGCCGGCTGCTTCCTTTTACCGAATCCCTCGGAAGTGACACCGCGTCCGTGTCGCAGCTTGTGCTGTTACGGTTCTGATGCTACCGCTCTGTGGACCACTGCCTCTCCTCTTCCACCGGGCCACAGCTTCTCTCCCATTGGCTCCCCGAGCACCGTGGTCTCCTGGGCTACAACTTTTCTTCTCTGCCAGGTTCTCCGAGGAGTGCGGCAGTCTTCGGTGCCACAGCTCCTGCTGTCTGCCGGATCCTTGTCTGGGACGAGTGAGGCACTGGCACAAGGAGGGAGTGAGTAAAGCGAAGGTTTACAGAAGGAGGCAGAGAAAGCCCCCTCCCTGGTAGCCACAGGGCTGCTCCCCAAGTGCCACCTACGGCACTGGCATCCCACCTGGGAGCTGGTTTGAGTCCCTGCTGCTCCACTTCTAGTCCGGCTCCCTGCCAATGAGCCTGGGGAGAGCAGCAGAGGATGGCCTGGGGGCTTTGGCCCCTGCCACCACATTGGAGACCCAGAAGAAGCTCCTGGCTCTGGCTTCAGCCTGGCTCAGCCCCCGCCACTGCGGCCATCTGAGGAGTAAACCAGCTGAAGGAAGTTCTCTCTCTCTCTCTCTCCTCTCTCGCTCTCTCCCTCTCTCCCTCTCTCCGTCTCCCCCTCTCCCCCTCTCCCTGCCCCCCTGTAACTCTGACTTTCAAATCAATAAATCTTAAAAATCAAAACTGCCTGGCTGGGATTTTTACACAATTCTAAAGGTTCAAGTTCACCTGATTGGTCAAGTTGCATGATAATGAGGTATTATATATAAACCAATCAGGGAGTCAGCAGAGCCTGAGTATGATTGGCTTGACCAGGAACCAATCACAGAGCCCACGCTACATGTGGACGTGGGGAGTGTGTTCAAACAGGTCTGTGGCAGGCGGCTCTGCTCAGCAGATGGAACCACATCTGGAGGTGACGTTGAACCTGTGTCCCACCCTCCGTCCCTCAGAGTTCCTGCATGGCTAAGTCAGGCGGGGGTCTTCCTTTCCTTCCCAGGGCCCTGGGGTCCCTATCAGAGGCAGGAGGAGTCTATGTCTCCTCCCCAGGAGATGGGGCACATGCTTTCAACACATTCCATTTTTTAAAATTTTTAAAAATACTTACTTGAAAGAATTACAGAGAGAGGGAGAGACAGGGATAGAGGTCTTCCATCTACTGGCTCACTCTAGATGACCACAATGGCCAGGGCTGGGCCAGGCTGAAGCCAGGAGCCAGGAGCTTCTTCCAGGTCTCCCATATGGGTGCAGAGGCCCAAGCGCTTGAGCCATCTTCTGCTGCTTTCCCAGGCCACTGGCATGAAGCTAGATTAGAAGTGCAGCAGCTGGGAGAGGAACAAGCACCCAGACAGGGTGTGGGCATACTGGGCACCAGCCCCCTCCACATTCTCTGATGGAGCACGACTCTCTGTTCTAACTTCTTGGCTTACACAGAGGCTCCTGTGTGACAGCCTTCTGTCACACAGCTCCCTCTCTGGTGTGTGACAGCCATCTGTCGCACAGCTTCCTCTCTTGTGTGTGACAGCCATCAGTCACAGCTCCCTCTCTCCTGTGTGACAGCCATCTGATGCACAGCTCTCTCTCTCCTGTGTGACAGCCATCTGTCACAGTTCCCCCTCTCCTGTGTGAAGGCATCTGTCACAGCTCCCTCTCGCCTGCGTGACAGCTGTCAGTCACAGCTCCCTGCTCGTGTGTGACAGCCCTCAGTCACAGCTCCCTCTCTCCTGTGTGACAGCTGTCTATCACAGATACCTCTCTTGTGTGTGACAGCCATCTGTCGCACAGCTCCTTCTCTCCGGTGTATCAGCCGTCTGTCGCACAGCTCCCTCTCTTGTGTGACCGCCATCTGTCATAGCTCCCTTTCACCTGTATGACAGCCGTCTGTCACAGCTCCCTCTCTCTGTGTGACAGCCATCTGTCACAGATACCTCTCTCCTGTGAGACAGCCGTCTGTCACAGCTCCATCTCTCCTGTGTGACAGCCATCTGTCACAGCTCCCCCTCTCCTGTGTGACAGCTGTATGTCACAGCTCCCTCTCTCCTGTGTGACAGCCATCTGTCACAGATACCTCTCTTATGTGTGACAGCCATCTGTCTCACAGCTCCCTCTCTCCGGTGTATCAGCCATCTGTCGCACAGCTCCCTCTCTTGTGTGACCGCCATCTGTCACAGCTCCCTCTCACCTGTATGACAGCCATCTGTCACAGCTCCCTCTATCCTGTGAGACAGCCGTCTGTCACAGCTCCCTCTCTCCTGTGAGACAGCCATCTGTCACAGCTCCCTCTCTCCTGTGTGACAGCCATCTGTCACAGCTCCCTTCTCGTGTATGACAGTCGCCTGTCACAGCTCCCTCTCTAGTGTGTGACAGCTGTCTGTTGCACATCTTCTTCTCTCCTGTGTGACAGCCATCTGTCACAGCGCCCTCTGTCCTGTGTGACAGCCATCTGTCACAGCGCCCTCTGTCCTGTGTGACAGCAGTCTGTCACAGCTCCCTCTCTCCTATGTGACAGCCGTCTGTCACAGCTCCCTATCTCCTATGTGACAGCCGTCTGTCAAAGCTCCCTCTCTCGAGTGTGACAGCCGTCTGCCTCACAGCTTCCTCTCTGCTTGGGTTGAGTTGTGTTGCAGTGTTCTGTGCTGCAGCTTCTCTTCTCTGTTCCGTTCTTTGTCTCCTGCCCACAAGGAACGAGGCCACAGGCAGGAAGGGGAGCCGAGTAAGGAAGTTTACTGAAAGAAAAGAGAAAGCACCAGGCACCTGCGGCCCCAAGAGAGGGGCTGGGCAGCACCGCCTGGCTCTCATATGTATGTGTTTCTAAAGGAGCAAGTTTGCCTGATTGGTCAAGGTATCTGCTAATGAGGTAGTCTATGAGAACCTATCAGGCAAGCAGCTGAGCCTGACTGTGATTGGTTTGGCCATGAACCAATCATCAGAGGGAAGTTAGACCTAAGCCCACATGGGCCCATGGTGGGCAGGACCTGGTGAGAAGCAGGAACCAATCAGCAAGGCCAGGAGGGGCCGGCAGCCACAGGACTCAGTACGGTCACCCAACAGCAGTGTCCTGGTCTGCTCAGCTGGGTGCCTGCCCTCCAGGGGCTGCTGCGTCACTACCATAATTTTCAAGATAACACATGGACCTTCTGAGCCAGCACTTCATTAAATTTGCCCTTGAAGAGTTAAAAATAAAAGTGTTGGCCGGCGCCATGGCTCAATAGGCTAATCCTCCGCCGCGGCACCGGCACACTGAGCTAGACACAAAGCTGGTATCCCGAAGCTGCAGAGGCTGGCGGCAGCGATGACTACACAAACGTGAACCAGGAGCTTGGCGGGACCAGCACGTGGGGAGTGTGCAGACGGCCAACTGCAATCTTAGGAGCAAACAGACGCACAGGCAGCTTGCGCTTAGCATAAGCAACCCCCAAGGCCGACATCAGAGGTGGAGACTAAGGCTGTTGTCCAGTCTAGAGTCCCAGTTCCAACTTTGTTCTCTGTCCCTACACAACACTCAGGGCCAGAACCCACCGATGGAAGCAGTGCTAGGATTGGCAGAGTGAGCAGCCAGCAGGGCGGCGGCGAGCGTGTCCAGGCGGCACGTCTCTATCTGAGGTGCTCCCAGATTGCTCCAACAGCCACACTTCCCACGCGCTGGTGGCAGCTGCCACAGGAAGGTTCACGCACAGAACTGTGCAGCTACGTGTGGACAGATTGCTCAGGGAGGGGTGCAAGTCTGGGAAGAGACCCTCTGAGGTGTCAGGGAGGGCCTCACAGGAAGAGAGTGAACAGGGAGAGAAGCCCACGTGGCCGTCCATGGACACAGTGGCCCCGGGGTGTGCAGTGCACTGACCCAGAGTCCGACCCTTCCCCTGCAAGGCAGGGAAGCTGGAGCGTGGAATGTGCATGTTTAGCTGTGGAGATCATGACAGCTCATCGTGTGAGACAAAGGCATACTCACATGACGCTGCCCTGAAGAGTACGCGCTCACACCTCTAACGTGTACCCCGATAGGTGCACCCCACACCTGGGGCTCAATAAGCCCCTTTCATGAGCATCTTGCACTACAGGAGATGCCATCAGGGTGCAGACTGGCCTTTGGAATTCCAATGATTTGCTCTGCCAAATACCACGCACGCTTGGCAAAGGTGAACCCATTTTGAGACCCCAGCATGGGTTCCGAATATATATATGTAGGAACTTTAGAGATTTCAGAGCTGATTTAATGGAAACATAAAAGAATTTTAATATGTCCCTACTTCATAAGGCTCCAGGGATATTTACAATAAAAGCAAAGCAGCCTCCCGCGGAGGTCTGGGACTCACAGCCGAAACTTCATTCAGAAAGAACTCTCATCATGGTCTCCTAAAGCCATGAGTGCAAAACGGCTCCCCCCAGCCCGGCCAGCTGCTCTGCTCACCCCCACAGCCTGTCACTGTCTCTGCTCCCTAGGAAGCCCCGCACCTCCCCGCCAGCTTCCGGAGTGCAGCCAGCACCTCCTTGTTCCTCAGGCTGTAGATGAGGGGGTTCAGCATGGGGGTGAACACATTGCTGAACACAGACAGTGCCTGGTCTTGCTCTGGGCTGTGGGAAGAGGTGAAGCTCATGTAAATGAAGATGTTCGGACCAAAGAAGAGACTCACCACCGTGAGGTGGGAGGAGCAGGTGGCCAAGACCTTCTGCCTGCCCTTGACAGAGCTCATGCGGAGCACGGCGAGGAAGATGAGTGTGTAGGAGGCTGTGATGAGACCGAAGGGGACGACCAGCAGCACCACGCTACTCACTACTACCACCGACTGATACACGGATGTGTCCTCACAGGACAGCTTGATGAGGACGGGCACCTCGCAGAAGAAGTGCTGGATCTCCCGGGACCCACAGATGGGGAAGTGCAGAGGGTAAACCGTGTGAACCAAGGAGCTGACCAAGCCTCCAACCCAACACCCAGAAACCATGTGCAGGCAGAACCTGGGGCTCATGATGGCGGGGTAGCGCAGCGGGTTGCACACAGCCACGTAGCGGTCGTACGCCATGAGGGTCAGGATGAGGCACTCGGACGTCCCCAGCAACAGGAAGAAGAAGCTCTGTGTCCCGCAGCCAACCCAGGAGATGCCCCTCTCCCCTGTGAAGAAGTTGGTGGCCATCTTGGGGACGATGGTGGAGGTCAGTGTCAGGTCGATGAGGGAGAGCTGGCTGAGCAGGACGTACATGGGCGTGTGCAGCCGGGCGTCCCCCAGGATCAGGACGATCAGAAGGGCGTTTCCCAGGAAGGCCAGGATGTAGATGAGGACCACGGCGGCATTGAGGAGCAGGGAGTGCCGGGACCCAGGGAAGAGCCCGGCCAGGAGGAAGTCCGTGGCCGAAGAGGCGTTCCCACCCACCATGCCGCTGCACGGCCACGAGGGAGACCACTGGAGTCACTACCACGTGTGACACCTCGTGTCAGTCTGGGGGCCAGAAGTTCTAGAACCTTACCCCCGGCTCCGGGTTCTCACGTAGCCTTTGCCCCCATCTCAGGGAGAGCACTTTCCCGTGTCTCTTGAACAATCGCCTGACTTGGTAAATACAGAAGACTGGACACACGATCCACGCCAGCACTAACCGGCCTCTGCTGAGCTGAGTTCTTCCGATTTTCTTCTTTCTTTCTAAGTTGGAGAATCCTGTAAATACTAACACCCATTTCTAGAAATACAGGCTTAAACTGCTGTACACTGCTCATGTTAGCCATGGGACCTAGCTAACAACTTTTGTGCATCAGAGCAAAAATGAAGGAAATTCTAATCAGTTCTTTCAATTTGGCTTTATAAATTATAAATCAATTACTTGGTTTCATTCTAATGAAATATCCTACTGTTTGCTTGCCTCTTGGTGGGTGATTGTCCTTATGCTATACATAGGGTGAGAGAAATTGCTAGACACACAGAACTGCCAAGCATCAGTTTTCAGTTTTACTGACCAAGGAAAGCTCTTGTATTCAATAGAGAATCCTGCACCCACAGTGACTGATGAAACGTCTGTCCTGTGCTTAGATACAGACCTCGAGCTCTGCTCAGTGGTCTCCGTGCTCCCGGCCCCGCTGCTCGTGCCGCTGCACCTCTGCTCTCTGCAGGGTGAGCAGCTCCAGGAGTGCAGCCGTCCGCACTTGCACAGGCACCTGCATGCATTGATCTTCTGGCGAGCGCCAGGCCTTTCCCTGGCAAGTCGGCTCACCGAACAGTGGCCGCCCCACCCCAGCCGGGAGAGACAGTGCTGCCAGGCAGAAGTTTCCAGATGCTCGGCCTCCCGACCAGAGGGGCTCTGCTCAGCACGGTCAAAACTCCCTGAAGTCCAGTCTGTTGCTGCAGCCAGAGACCCCTAATGTAAAGCCGCGCCCCGCTCGGGCTTACACTAGCTGTTCTCCCCTGGCCGTCTGTATTCACAGTACTGTGTGGCTTTTGGACAAAAGATCAGTTAAGAAGAAAAACCACTGCTTTGACTTGAGCCGTCGCTCTGGTGAACTATAAAATGTGGCGGGACTGGCTGACCTTGCCGGCCAGTGACCATGAGCACAAATTCACTTCTCACCACACTCACATCAGTTCAGGGAGTACCACTGATGAGTGTGTGGGCAGCCTGCGTGGTCCACTCACTATCATAGCACACTTGCTGAGCGCTCACGAGGGCAGCAGTGACCTGGGACAGGGCCTAAGCAGAACAGAGGCCAGTGTGCAGCGCTGCCCAGCACCAGCCCCTGCGGTGCCCCTTGACAGTGGGCGTCAGCACCTTTAACTGTCCCATTCTCTAATCTGCCTGCGCTCCAGACACCACCTGTCTGCTATAAGGCTGTGGGCTTACAACTCAGAGAATGCAACTGTCAAGTTTAGACAGCCAACTGATCTTAAACACTAAAAACTGGAGCAAAGGAACATTCAAATGTGTCTAGCTCACTCCCGCTTTAACTTAACAATCATCAGACTTTTACTTTGTATCTTGTAAATGCATATTAACTAGCAGCCAACGAGCTGAACCAAGCGGGGGATACCTTTTAGGAAGGAAAATCTGTGGGGACTGAAACCACACCCAAAGTCAGCAAACGGCCATAGCTCAGGAAGCAAACCACCACAAGCCACAGGATAAGTTCACTGTGTTGTGCTACCTGCTGACTGCGTTTGGGCACATGATGGTGCCCCATGTTCTACTGGGTTTGGTCAGACAAGAGTACAGATCACACCACAACCCCTGCCTTAAACCCTCAACAAAAAGCAGCTCAAAATGGATCAGTATTTTAAACGTAAGACGAGAAACCGTAAAACCACTGGAGGAAAACACAGGGCAAGGACTCCAAGACATCGGCACAGGCAGTGGCTTTTTGGATCAGACTCCCAAAGTCCCAGCAATAAAGACAAAAGTAGACAAATGGGAGTGCATAAAGCCAAGGAGCTTCTGCACAGCCCAGGAAAGCGCAGAGGGAGGAGAGAGCTGACAGAATGGGATCATATGTCTGCAAACCTTGCGTCTGGATCTTCCACACAGACCCCAAACAGAAATACCGATTCCAGGCAGACTTCCCCTCGACGCGGACCCTGAGCAGGCTGAGCCTAACACAGGTGCTTCCACCTGTGAGAGACACAGTCGCCGAAGTCTGACATGTGCGAGAATCAGCATCGGCCACGTGAATTCTCTACAGAACGAGCGTTACCAGGCAAGCAGTAGGATGTGTTCCTTCCTGTATGGCATTGGCCTTGCGCACTGCTTGTGTCCAGCCCCTCCCCCGTGGGATCCCGTGCTGACACAGGACCTTCCACAGTCACACACGGCTTCTCATGGTGCAGCATGAGTCCCCTCTGTGAAGGGGAGTGAGTGCAGCTGGCCCCACGCAGATGGAGGATCACGCATTTCTGCAAATGCCCGCCGTGTCCACGGTTCTGAACACTCGGAAGGGGGGAGGCTGGTGTGTATTTCAGCTGAGCTCTGCCCGGCAGAGCTGTAATTTGTCATCAGGTCTGGGGCTGAGACCTTCACAGGGAACAGCCCCGGGGAGCAGAGTCCCCAGACTCCAATTAACTTGGATCTCAGACCAAAACAATGAACCTCAGAAATTAGGAAAAACGGTGTGAAACAGATTTTCCTCACCATGGAAAATATTCCAGTGCTTCCAGCCCCACGGTGAATGCCAGGCAGCGTGAGGACAGTTCAGACCGGGCTTTGTGGATTTCATGTGAGGAGGGTCGGCTTGCACTATCCTCACCCTCTCTCTCACACTCTGTCCCTCGTATGTCTTATAAAGTAGTTCTTTTTGAAGCAGCTGGAGAATCCCTTAGCTTCTTTTCAGTGTATAAATAATATTAATATTGAAGATCAAACATATCTAAATGAAAAGACCATGTCTCCCACTTGGTGACTATCATTTGTTCAGATAATTTGATTATCTGAGCATTATGTATGGTATCTGTAATGGCCTCACCAGTGAGGGTCTCTTGCATAATCATATAAGATGTGCTGTACCATCCTCTAGAATGTTCCCCAGCCAGTGAGCGTGATGAACATCCCAGCCACCCACAGCCGGGTCTCTTCGCCCCACCCGAGGTCCCACACATCCTCTGAAGTCCCAAAACTTCCTTTCTCTAGGAACAGTCTGAGGGCCTGGGACTCATTCAGACATAGGCACAAGAAAAACAACAACAACAAAAAATTATTGGGTGGGGCTGGTGCCATGGCACAGTAGGTTAATCCTCTGCCTGTGGCGCCAGCATCCCATATGGGTGCCAGTTCTCATCCCGGCTGTTCCTCTTTCAATCCCGCTCGCTACTATGGCCTGGGAAAGCAGTGGAAGATGGCCCAAGTCCTTCAGCCCCCAAACCTACGTGGGAGACTCAGATGAAGCTCCTGGCTCCTGGCTTTGGATGTGTGCAGCTCAAGCCATTGTGGCCATTTGGGGAGTGAACCAATGGACAGAAGACCTTGCTTTCTCTGTCTCTCCCTCTCACTGTCTGTAACTCTAGCTCTCAAATAAATAAACAAAATATTTTTTAAAAATTATTGGAAAATAATCAGTAAACACACATATCCACTGAATTCCTTTGGCACCAACAGGGAATTGTCAGCTCAAAGTGAATGGAGAGAAAGGGAGGCAAACAGGTGTTTTCCATGAGCTGGAGACAAAAGCATCAGAGTGAAACTCACATCTGCACATGTCAGAAAGGTCCACACCTGCGGCTCTCAGGAGGCTTCTAAGGACCAGGACAACTTCCCTGGGCTGTGCAGTAGAGCACTAGACAAACCGCTGTTTAGGCTGAATGTGGACGTTATCAAATGCATGAAGCTTATATACCTTAAATAAAAGGTGTCTTGGTTAAAAAAATTAAAAAGAATATAGCTCCTTAAGGACAAAGACAACACTGATTTATTTGCTTATTTGTTTTTGCGTTAATTATACATAATTATCTTTATATATTTATGTATGCATGTATGTATATCACATCTGATTTATCTTTATATCACCTGCACTAGTGGTTAGCAAAATACCACCAAATCCGGCTGGCTGCCTGTTTTGGGCTGGCCTGTGAGGTAAGAAATTTATGGAAGGGGCCAGCATTGTGGCATAACGGGTTAAACTGTAGCCTATGATATAGGCATCCCATGTGGGCACCAGTTCATGTCCTGGCTGCTCCACTCCCAGTCTAGCTCCCTGATACAGACCTGGGAAAAGCAGCAGAAGATGGTCTAAGAACTTGGGCCCTGCCACCCAGATGGGAGACCCAGATGAAGCTCCTGGCTCCTGGCTTCAGCCTGGCCCAGCCTTGGCTTTTGCGGACATCTGGGGTGTGAACCAGCAGGTGGAAGATCTCCCTCCCTGTCTCTCCCTCACTCTCTGCAGCTCTGACTTTCAAATAAATACATCTTTTTAAAAAAAAAGAAAATCATGTACGATTCCAATTTCAGGGCCTCTAAACACAGTTTATTGGAATATGTCAGGCTCATTCTGGCACACACTGGCCGCAGCAGTGTCCACACCTGCAGAGCTGAGAGTGCGACAAAGCCTGGACCATTTACCATCTGCTCTTTACAAAGGCGTGTCAGCCTGTGGCTTCCGCTACCTCTCTGCTTTGTGGACATCATGAGGGGATGATACCGCCTTCAGTGGAGTCGCCTTTCAGAGAGAGGAGTTGATACCGTATGCATACGATGGTGGATGAGGGGACACTTTTGACTCTTTGACTCCTGGATCCTGGCTTTGGATTGGCCCAGACCTTCTCATTGCTGCCCGCTGGGGAATGAACCAGCAAATGGAAGATCTCTCTCTCTCTCCCTTTCTCTCTCTCCTTTCTCTTTCTCTCTCTTTGCCTTTCTAACAAATAAATATATATTTGTCTAAAAAAAACTCTGGAAATCCATGCATATAAGAGGTCTTCAAAAAAAACCTGTGAATTGTGAAAAACCATGCATAGATTTCAAAGGTGTTTTATATCAAAAGAAATGGATGTTTTTGTTGTATTTCCATGAGCTTTTGGAAGGGTCCTTGTATAGGTGAACACTTCCTCAGAAACAAGGACACAAGAACCACTCAAGGAGTCAATGTCAAAGTCACTGCTGGGTGCCTCTGGAGTCGTGGAAAGAGGGGTGACCTACACCCTCGAGGCTGAGAAGACTGTGCATCCCGAGAGGCTGACGGGGCACAGAGGAAGGACACTGAGGAGGCAGACAGCGATACCGGAGCAGCACACATCACTCCCCAAGGACACATCATCCCAAGGCCATCAGGTCACTGCATCCATGATGGACACCCCAGGGTCACTGAGAAGCTCAAAGTCAGGACTGAGGTGAGAGAGTGTCCTGAAGCCGCAGAGGCTGGCGGCAGCGATGACTACATGCACATGAACCAGGAGCTTGGAGGGACCAGCACGTGGGGAGTGTGCAGACGGCCAACTGCAATCTTAGGAGCAAACAGATGCACAGGCAGCTTGCGCTTAGCATAAGCAACCCCCAAGGCCGACATCAGAGGTGGAGACTAAGGCTGCTGTCCAGTCTAGAGTCAAGTTCCACACTTTGTTCTCTGTCCCTACACAACACTCAGGGCCAGAACCCACCGATGGAAGCAGTGCTCAGATTGGCAGAGTGAGCAGCCAGCAGGGCGGCGGCGAGCGTGTCCAGGCGGCACGTCTCTATCTGAGGTGCTCCCAGATTGCTCCAACAGCCACACTTCCCACGCGCTGGTGGCAACTGCCACAGGAAGGTTCACGCACAGAACTGTGCAGCTACGTGTGGACAGATTGCTCAGGGAGGGGTGCAAGTCTGGGAAGAGACCCTCTGAGGTGTCAGGGAGGGCCTCACAGGAAGAGAGTGAACAGGGAGAGAAGCCCACGTGGCCGTCCATGGACACAGTGGCCCCGGGGTGTGCAGTGCACTGACCCAGAGTCCAACCCTTCCCCTGCAAGGCAGGGAAGCTGGAGCGTGGAATGTGCATGTTTAGCTGTGGAGATCATGACAGCTCATCGTGTGAGACAAAGACATACTCACATGACGCTGCCCTGAAGAGTACACGCTCACACCTCGAACGTGTACCCCAGTAGGTGCACCCCACACCTGGGGCTCAATAAGCCCCTTTCATGAGCATCTTGCAATACAGGAGATGCCATCAGGGTGCAGATTGGGCTTTGGAATTCAAATGATTTGCTCTGCCAAATACCATGCACACTTGGCAAAGGTGAACCCTTTGGGTTCCTAATATATATGTAGGAACTTGAGAGACTTCAGAGCCAATTAATGAAAACATAAAAGAATTTTAATATGTTCCTGACTTGATAAGGCTCCAGGGATATTTACAATAAAAGCAAAGCAGCCTCCCGCGGAGGTCTGGGACTCACAGCCGAAACTTCATTCAGAAAGAACTCTCATCATGGTCTCCTAAAGCCATGAGTACAACCGGCTCCCCCCTGCCCGGCCGCTGCTCTGCTCACCCCCACAGCCCGTCACTGTCTCTGCTCCCTAGGAAGCCCCGCACCTCCCCGCCAGCTTCTGGAGTGCAGCCAGCACCTCCTTGTTCCTCAGGCTGTAGATGAGGGGATTCAGCATGGGGGTGAGCACATTGCTGAACACAGACAGCGCCTGGTCCTGCTCTGGGCTGTGGGAAGAGGTGAAGCTCATGTAAATGAAGATGTTCGGACCAAAGAAGAGACTCACCACCGTGAGGTGGGAGGAGCAGGTGGCCAAGACCTTCCGCCTCCCCTTGACGGAGCTCATGCGGAGCACGGCGAGGAAGATGAGTGTGTAGGAGGCTGTGATGAGACCGAAGGGGACGACCAGCAGCACCACACTGGTTACCACCACCACAGACTGATACACGGATGTGTCCTCACAAGACAGCTTGATGAGGACGGGCACCTCGCAGAAGAAGTGCTGGATCTCCCGGGACCCGCAGATGGGGAAGTGCAGAGGGTAAACCGTGTGAACCAAGGAGCTGGCTGAGCCTCCAACCCAACACCCAGAAACCATATGCAGGCAGAACCTGGGGCTCATGATGGCGGGGTAGCGCAGCGGGTTGCACACAGCCACGTAGCGGTCGTATGCCATGAGGGTCAGGATGAGGCACTCAGACATCCCCAGCAACAGGAAGAAGAAGCTCTGTGTCCCGCAGCCAACCCAGGAGATGCCCCTCTCCCCTGTGAAGAAGTTGGCAGCCATCTTGGGGACGATGGTAGAGGTCAGTGTCAGGTCGATGAGGGAGAGCTGGCTGAGCAGGACGTACATGGGTGTGTGTAGCCGGGCATCCCCTAGGATCAGGATGATCAGAAGGGTGTTTCCCAGGAAGGCCAGGATGTAGATGAGGACCACGGTGGCATTGAGGAGCAGGGAGTGCCGGGACCCAGGGAAGAGCCCGGCCAGGAGGAAGTCCGTGGCCGAAGAGGCGTTCCCACCCACCATGCCGCTGCACGGCCACGAGGGAGACCACTGGAGTCACTACCACGTGTGACACCTCGTGTCAGTCTGGGGGCCAGAAGTTCTAGAACCTTACCCCCAGCTCCGGGTTCTCACGTAGCCTTTGCCCCCATCTCAGGGAGAGCACTTTCCCGTGTCTCTTGAACAATCGCCTGACTTGGTAAATACAGAAGACTAAACACACAATCCACGCCAGCACTAACCGGCCTCTGCTGAGCTGAGTTCTTCTATTTTTCTTCTTTCTTTCTAAGTTGGAGAATCCTGTAAATACTAACACCCATTTCTAGAAATACAGGCTTAAACTGCTGTACACTGCTCATGTTAGCCATGGGACCTAGCTAACAACTTTTGTGCATCGGAGCAAAAATGAAGGAAATTCTAATCAGTTCTTTCAATTTGGCTCTATAAATTATAAATCAATTACTTGGTTTCATTCTAATGAAATATCCTACTGTTTGCTTGCCTCTTGGTGGGTAATTGTCCTTATGCTATACATAGGGTGAGAGAAATTGCTAGACACACAGAACTGCCAACCATCAGTTTTCTGTTTTACTGACGAAGGAAGCTCTTGTATTCAATAGAGAATCCTGCACCCACAGTGACTGATGAAACGTCTGTCCTGTGCTTAGACACAGACCTCGAGCTCTGCTCAGTGGTCTCCGCGCTCCCGGCCCCGCTGCTCGTGCCGCTGCACCTCTGCTCTCTGCAGGGTGAGCAGCTCCAGGAGTGCAGCCGTCCGCACTTGCACAGGCACCTGCATGCATTGATCTTCTGGCGAGCGCCAGGCCTTTCCCTGGCAAGTCGGCTCACCGAACAGTGGCCGCCCCACCCCAGCCGGGAGAGACAGTGCTGCCAGGCAGAAGTTTCCAGATGCTCGGCCTCCCGACCAGAGGGGCTCTGCTCAGCACGGTCAAAACTCCCTGAAGTCCAGTCTGTTGCTGCAGCCAGAGACCCCTAATGTAAAGCCACGCCCCGCTCGGGCTTACACTAGCTGTTCTCCCCTGGCCGTCTGTATTCACAGTACTGTGTGGCTTTTGGACAAAAGATCAGTTAAGAAGAAAAACCACTGCTTTGACTTGAGCCGTCACTCTGGTGAACTATAAAATGAGGCAGGACTGGCTGACCTTGCCGGCCAGTGACCATGAGCACAAATTCACTTCTCACCACACTCACATCAGTTCAGGGAGTACCACTGATGAGTGCGTGGGCAGCCTGCGTGGTCCACTCACTATCATAGCACACTTGCTGAGCGCTCACGAGGGCAGCAGTGACCTGGGACAGGGCCTAAGCAGAACAGAGGCCAGTGTGCAGCGCTGCCCAGCACCAGCCCCTGCAGTGCCATTGACAGTGGGCATCAGCACCTTTAACTGCCCCGTTCTCTAATCTGCCCCCGCTCCAGACACCACCTGTCTGTCATAAGGCTGTGGGCTTACAACTCAGAGAATGCAACTGTCAAGTTTAGACAGCCAACTGATCTTAAACACTAAAAACTGGAGCAAAGGAACATTCAAATGTGTCTAGCTCACTCCCGCTTTAACTTAACAATCATCAGACTTTTACTTTGTATCTTGTAAATGCATATTAACTAGCAGCCAACCAGCTGAACCAAGTTGGGGGATACCTTTTAGGAAGGAAAATCTGTGGGGACTGAAACCACACCCTGACAGTGTTCTTTGAGTAGAAATGCAAACATCACAGCAAAGAACTCTGCATCACTTCATACCATAAAGCCTATTTCCCCATTAAATGATTTCAGCTGACTAAGCCTTTTTGGGGTCAGCTCTGCACATGTTTCTGTTACTTGCTTTGTACACAAGAAGACTGAGCTGTGGGAGGGAAGAGTGTGATGCTGTGTGCGTTAGCCTGTGGCCCCAAAGCAGTCTCCCAGGTCCTGACGACTTTCCGGGCTCTGGGTCCCTCTTGTTAGCGTGCTCGAGGTTGGGCTGTGAGGGCACAGACAGCACAGGCATCGACAAAGTCAGCAAACGGCCATAGCTCAGGAAGCAAACCACCACAAGCCACAGGATAAGTTCACTGGGTCGTCCTACCTGCTGACTGCGTTTGGGCACATGATGGTGCCCCGTGTTCCACTGGGTTTGGGCAGACAAGAGTACAGATCACACCACAACCCCTGCCTTAAACCCTCGACAAAAAGCAGCTCAAAATGGATCAGTATTTTAAACATAAGACGAAAAACCGTAAAACCACTGGAGGAAAACACAGGGCAAGGACTCCAAGACATCGGCACAGGTAGTGGCTTTTTGGATCAGACTCCCAAAGTCCCAGCAATAAAGGCAAAAGTAGAAAAATGGGAGTGCTTAAAGCCAAGGAGCTTCTGCACAGCCCAGGAAAGCACAGCGGGAGGAGAGAGCTGACAGAATGGGATCATATGTCTGCAAACCTTGCGTCTGGATCTTCCACACAGACCCCAAACAGAAATACCGATTCCAGGCAGACTTCCCCTCAATGCGGACCCTGAGCAGGCTGAGCCTAACACAGGCGCTTCCTCCTGTGACAGACACAGTCACCGAAGTCTGACATGTGCGAGAATCAGCATCGGCCGCGTGAATTCTCTATAGAACGAGCGTTACCAGGCAAGCAGTAGGATGTGTTCCTTCCTGTCTGGCATTGGCCTTGCGCACTGCTTGTGTCCAGCCCCTCCCCCGTGGGATTCCGTGCTGACACAGGACCTTCCACAGTCACACACGGCTTCTCATGGTGCAGCATGAGCCCCCTCTGTGAAGGGGAGTGAGTGCAGCTGGCCCCACGCAGATGGAGGATCACGCATTTCTGCAAATGCCCGCCGTGTCCACGGTTCTGAACACTCGGAAGGGGGGAGGCTGGTGTGTATTTCAGCTGAGCTCTGCCTGGCAGGGCTGTAATTTGTCATCAGGTCTGGGGCTGAGACCTTCACAGGGAATAGCCCCAGGGAGCAGAGTCCCCAGACTCCAATTAACTTGGATCTCAGACCAAAACAATGAACCTCAGAAATTAGGAAAAACGGTGTGAAACAGATTTTCCTCACCATGGAAAATATTCCAGTGCTTCCAGCCCCACAGTGAATGCCAGGCGGCATGAGGACAGGTGGGGCCCGGGCACTGTGGACTTCACGTGAGGAGGGTCGGCTTGCACTATCCTCACCCTCTCTCTCACACTCTGAGAACTCCCCCGTATGTCTTATAACGTAGTTCTTTCTGAAGCAGCTGGAGAATCCCATAGCTTCTTTTCAGTGTATAAATAATATTAATACTGGGGATCAAACAAATCTAAATGAAAGACCATGTCTCCCACTTTGGTGACTATCATTTGTTCAGATAACTTGATTATCTGAGCATTATGTATGGTATCTGTAATGGCCTCACCAGGGTACGTCTCTTATAATTCTATAAGACGTGCTGTACCTCGGCCGGCGCCGTCTCTCTCTAGGCTAATCCTCCACCTGCTGCGCTGGCACCCCAGGTTCTAGTCCCAGTTGAGGCACCAGATTCTGTCCTGGTTGCTCCTCTTCAAGTCCAGCTCTCTGCTGTGTCCTGGGAAGGCAGTGGAGGATGGCCCAGGTGTTTGGCCCCTGCACCTGCATGGGAGACCAGGAGGAGCACCTCCTCCTGGCTTCGGATCAGTGCAGTGAACCAACGGAAGTAAGACCTTTCTCTCTTTCTCTCTCTCTAACTCTCCCTGTCAAAATAATAAAAGACATGCTGTACCGTCCTCTAGAATGTTCCCCAACCAGTGAGCATGACGAACATCGCAGCCACCCACAGCCGGGTCTCTTCTCCCCACCCGAGCTCCCACACATCCTCTGAAGTCCCAACACTTCCTTTCTCTAGGAACACTCTGAGGGCCTGGGACTCATTCAGACACAGGCACAAGAAAAACAACAACAAAAAATTATTGGGTGGGGCTGGTGCCATGGTACAGTAGGTTAATCCTCTACCTGTGGTGCCAGCAACCATCTGGGCACCGGTTCTCCTACCAGCTGCCCCTATTTCAATCCAGCTCTCTGCTATGACCTGGAAAAGCAGTGGAAGATGGCCCAAGTCCTTCAGCCCCCACACCTATGTGGGAGACTCAGATGAAGCTCCTGGCTCCTGGCTTCGGATGTGTGCACCTCAAGCCATTGCGGCCATTTGGGGAATGAACCAATGGACAGAAGACCTTGCTTTCTCTGTCTCTCCCTCTCACTGTCTATAACTCTAGCTCTCAAATAAATAAATATTTTTTAAAAATTATTGGAAAATAATCAGTAAACACACATATCCACTGAATTCCTTTGGCACCAACAGGGAATTGTCAGCTCAAAGTGAATGGAGAGAAAGGGAGGCAAACAGGTGTTTTCCATGAGCTGGAGACAAAAGCATCAGAGTGAAACTCACATCTGCACATGTCAGAAAGGTCCACACCTGCGGCTCTCAGGAGGCTTCTAAGGACCAGGACAACTTCCCTGGGCTGTGCAGTAGAGCACTAGACAAACCGCTGTTTAGGCTGAATGTGGACGTTATCAAATGCATGAAGTTTATATACCTTAAATAAAAGGTGTCTAGGTTAAAAAAATTAAAAAGAATATAGCTCCTTAAGGACAAAGACAACACTGATTTATTTGCTTATTTGTTTTTGCGTTAATTATACATAATTATCTTTATATATTTATATGTATGCATGTATGTATATCACATCTGATTTATCTTTATATCACCTGCACTAGTGGTTAGCAAAATACCACCAGATCCGGCCAGCTGCCTGTTTTGGGTTGGCCTGTGAGGTAAGAAATTTACGGAAGGGGCCAGCATTGTGGCATAACGGGTTAAACTGTAGCCTATGATATAGGCATCCCATGTGGGCACCAGTTCATGTCCTGGCTGCTCCACTCCCAGTCTAGCTCCCTGATACAGACCTGGGAAAAGCAGCAGAAGATGGTCTAAGAACTTGGGCCCTGCCATCCAGATGGGAGACCCAGATGAAGCTCCTGGCTCCTGGCTTCAGCCTGGCCCAGCCTTGGCTTTTGCGGACATCTGGGGTGTGAACCAGCAGGTGGAAGATCTCCCTCCCTGTCTCTCCCTCACTCTCTGCAGCTCTGACTTTCAAATAAATAAATCTTTTTTAAAAAAAGAAAATCATGTACGATTCCAATTTCAGGGCCTCTAAACACAGTTTATTGGAATATATCAGGCTCATTCTGGCACACACTGGCCGCAGCAGTGTCCACACCTACAGAGCTGAGAGCTGTGACAAAGCCTGGACCATTTACCATCTGCTCTTTACAAAGGCGTGTCAGCCTGTGGCTTCCGCTACCTCTCTGCTTTGTGGACATCATGAGGGGATGATACCACCTTCAGTGGAGTCGCCTTTCAGAGAGAGGAGATGATACCGTATGCATATGATGGTGGATGAGTGGACATGGTTAATTCTCGTTCATTACAGATGAGACAAACCTGCACTTGACAGCATCCTCTTTTTATGATAAAAGGGATGCTATGGTGCTTAACGCAACCTACTTTTCAGGGAAAATCTACAAGAGCTCAGTGATAGCCCCTGTGTGCTGTTGGTCTAAAGCTGGTATCTTTTCTACGAGAAATAACCACAGCACCTAGGACTGGTATGTCTCCATGACTGCTGTGAAAGTCTTCTGTAAACTCATCAATGAAAGCATCACACACTGTTCGCTCTACGTGGGAAGTCCAGGCGTAACTCAGAGTTGCTGCAGGTCTGGTTCTAGACCACTGGGATAAGTAAACACCACAACAGACTCACAGACCTCCTGGCTTCCTGGCCCGTGTAACAGCTGTGTTTGTGCAACGCTGTAGTCTGTGAAGTACAGGGTTGCATTACATACACACCGTCATGGGCACAGGAGCACAGGGAATTCTAACAGTCCTCAGCCCAGTAGGTCCATTACGGTTGACAACAGTTACTTCATGTTTCAAAACAAGTAGGACAGAGAATTTTGAGTGTTCCCAAGTTGAAGACATTCTGCAAGTTTGAGGTGCTGGATACCCAGTTACCCTTATCTGCTCATTACGCACTCTGTATGTGTGTTGACATGACACACTTTACCCCTGTACTGTCATGTGTTGATGAAAAATTACACCTGTGTTTTAAAACACACTTTATTGCCTTAAAAATGCTAATGATCACCTAAGCCTTGAGCAATGCCTAACCTCTGCTGGTGCAGGGTCCCACCTTGAGGATGGCTAGGAATGGTAGGGGCATGGCAGTCTCCCAACGTAAGACATCCGTGGGGTTTGCCTCATCAGCTCTGTCCCTGTAGCACACCATGCTGGAAAAGATGATGGCATTTTATGCACCAGGTTCTTTCAGATTTGGGCTCAGTCCCCTTGAACGGTGCCACCGGCTGCCCGCTGAGTTTCCATCATTTTCTAGATGCTGTGGTGTCACTGCAGCCATGGGCACAGCCTCTTCACCTCGATGGGTTCTCCCTTCAGCACCTGCTCCTGCGCACCAGCTCCACCTCGGGTAATGCTGAATCCTGAGACCACGTCACCTCCAGCCCTGGCTCTCACTGCTTACACCACATCTGCACTCACCTCCTCCCCTGAGCCCTTGCAGTCACCTGTGGGGATCGCAGTGGACGTCTTCCAGACTCCTGCACGTGCAGGAAAGTTCTCCATGAGCGATAATGGGGCACTGCTTCCAGAACCTTCCAATTCATTGTGCCCAGCTCCAACAGAGGAATCATCGTCAATGGGGTGGAAGCCATGCAAAAAGCAAGTCTGAACGCGACTGGAGGGTCAAAATTTCTCCTCAGCTCATGGGATGCAGAATGGACACTGGTTAGCAGGCAGGGAGCTCTCACGAGAATACGGTTTTCTAGGATAAATTTTATTGTGTGCATATTTAAAATATACAGAAGATATTATAGAGAATGTTATGAGATATATATATAGAGAGAGACAGAGACAAAGAGAGTACAATGATCACTCTAGTGAAGCAAATAAACACACACACACACACACACACACACACATCTCACACAGCTGCCTATTTCCCCCACGCGGCAAGAGCAGCGGTACTGTATGCCTTTAGCAGAAGTCCTGAACACGACGCACTGGGACGATGCTTCCCGCGCACCTGAGCAGACCCCACGGCCAGGCGAGGGTCCTGGGCCTGTGTGCGCTTCCCCGTGGTGATGCTTCCCGGAGGACTTGCTAAGGGACAACTCTCCCAGCATCTGGGGTAAAGCTCTCCCTGCAGCCACACCCAAGTCGCTCCGGTCTGTGCAGCCACCTGGGCATGCGGGGCCTCTCATGCAGAGTTATCGAGAATTCAAGAAAGCAACAGGAGCATGAAACCAGGCCTGCGCCCTTCTCCCCTTCTCCTCGGAGCTGTGCCTGGCTGAGAGACAGCTGTGGTCAGGGTGTGGTCCACGCCACTCCCCGGCCAGCTGAGCGCAGCACCACTGCTTGGTCAGCGTTCAGATACTCAGCAAGTTTGTCACTACTTCCCTGGCTGAGTTTTAAGGAATCTTTTTGCACAAAAATACGAGTTTTCTTCCTGACAGCTTGCACTGCCATCCTCACACATTTGCCTTCCCAGTTCCCGTCCGTTTGAGACCAACTCCCTCCAGCACAGCCTTCATAAATCCTCACCATCATCTAACTTCTTGAACCCATGACAGCATTCTTCTTGTTTTCCCCCAGATAAACCGTTTGTTTAAGGAACACAAACTTCATGCATTTCAGAAATACAACTTTAGGAACACAGTGATTCTTCCCACCGTACCCGCCCTCCCACTCACTCTCACCCCTCCCCTCCCTCTCCCATTCCCAGGCTTATTTCTACTAAGATCTATTTTCAACTAACTTTATACACAGAAAATTAACTCTACACTAGCTAAAGAGTTCAACAAATTGTATGAAAAAAAAAAACTTCCTCAACAGTCAAGACAAGGGCTGTTCAAAGTTACTGCATCTTGAAGTTAATTTCACTTTTTTAAGCATTTTTTGAGAAAGTTAATTAACTTTAAAGAACCCAAGAATGATACATTATTTTGTGAGCACTTAGACATAACTGTAACTTAGAGACATAAGAATATCCTCCACTTAATACATAAAATGAAGTAAATCTTTGAGAACAAGTTTTACTGTTAACTCTCATAACACAACTCTTTGAGGACAGAGGTCCTGTATGGGAAGTTCGTGCACAGTGACTCCTGTTGTTAATTTAACAACTAACACTTTTATGTATGATGTCAGTGATCACCTGAGGCTCTTGACATGAGCTGTCTGGGCTACGGAAACTTTTTGAATCCATGATATGTCCTTCCGTATTTAGACAAGGCCATAAGCAAAGTGGAAGTTCTTTCCTCATTTCAGAGAAAGTACCTCCTTCTCGCTCTCTCCACTGGGGTCTTACCCACCGAGGTCCTTCATGTAGGACATACTTTGCCACAGTGTCTTGGCTTTCCATGCCTGAAATGCTCTCATGGGCTTTTCAGCCAGACCAGGAAGCCTTCAGGGCTGATTCTGAGGTCAGAGTGTCAGCAATCTCCTGAAGCCTTCCCCAAACCCTCTCTGTTTTCTGTCAAACCAAAAAGGGATTTATCCTTTCTCTGAATTCTTTTTTTTTATTTGACAGATAGAGTAAGGTAGTGAGAGAGAAAGACAGAGAGAAAGATCTTCCTTCCGTTGGTTCACCCCACAAATGGCTGCTGCGGCTAGCGCGCTGCGCCGATCTGAAGCCAGGAGCCAGGTGCCTCCTCCTGGTCTCCCATGTGGGTGCAGGGGGCCCAAGCACCTGGGCCATCCTCCACTGCATTCCCGGGCCACAGCAGAGAGCTGGACTGGAAGAGAAGCAACCAGGACAGAATCAGTGCCCATATGGGATGCCGGCGCCGCAGGCGGAGGATGACCCAAGTGAGCCACACAGACAGCGCACGTTGCTCCGGCCTGCCACAGCACATGGAAGATTTTACCTCCTCCCTTAAGGACTTCATTCCCCTTGAACTGCAACTCCTGCAGGCAGCTTTGAAACACTGACTCAAGTTTCTCTCCCCACGCTCACTTAGTACAGCACTATCAGGCAGTAGTAGTGAGTGCGTTAGAAGGTGCTGGAATGTAGACATCTCAGTATTATGTCCCTGCTGTTCTTTGATTTTGTGAACACAATGTGTCACTGTGAAACATTTCTTCACTTCAACTTTCAGGGACACGCTGTGATGCTGTCACAGCTAATCCAAGCCTGCAGTTAAATAACGCTAACGAGAGACAAAGGTGAAGGCTTCACGATGCTGTGAGGGAGACGTTGCAATTTCCACTTCTCAGATTAGGAAACTGATGCTGAAAATCCTGGACTTGCCGGAGTTTTCACACCTGTATAACAAGCCCGGGTCCCACTCCACGCCAGGCTCAGCACACAGGGAATGGGGACATTGATGCCCACTGTCAGCTGACCTCAGGACTCACGTGCCACTCCACTGTGAGAGGCAGCAGGGCGGGGCGTGCACTGGGTGTCTCTCCTGAGTCTTGGGAGCTTTCATTCTGAACAGACTCCTACTGTGACAAGAAGTGGCAGGGATATTTGCAAAGGGGATTGATTCCACCCAGAGGAGAGACTGAAAGTGATGTGCAGGTGGATGATTACTGTCCCAGCCATCACACATCCCTGCCACTACCCCCAAGCCCCTCTCAGCCAACTGCACCCAAGATTGGAATCTCACGCATCACAGAGTGATTAGATTCCAGGAAAAGCACAAACCTCGCATGGTGGGTCCAGCAAGGCGCCCATCACCGCTCAGTGTCATTCAAGCTCAGACAACTTTTTTTCCTGCAAATGCCTGTTTTCAGAGCTCGGTGACTGTTCTCACAAGATCAGCAACTGCCTGCAAGGAATGGCATGCTTGGATCTAATGCGACATTGACCGGGTTTGTCGGCCGGGCCCTGGGGCCAGCACATCACCACAATAATCGGAGAGTTAAATATGAGTGAGTGAGATATGTCATTAAAGGAGGAGAGCCTGCTCGTGCCAGCAGCTTTGGTGGTGACTCCAGAGCTCATCTGCATGCCCTGTGGGAACTCTTACTTGAACTACGGGATCTCCCTCTTGTCTGAACTTCCTGGATGTCCTCTGAGGAGCCTGGAAAGGAAAACAGCCACTTCCTCCCCAGGGCAGTGCCAGAGGCCAACCATTCAGCTTCCCTGGGGTTCCGAGCCTGTAGTCATCTTGGAGATTTCTCTGGGGTCTAGTTCCCTGTTGATGAGCGGAGGTCTGTGAATTCTTAACACACCATGAAAATAACTGTGTGAAAAACGGACAGCCTCTCCTGATAAAATCATTGGTCAGTATGATGGACGTGGACACCACAACTGTGCACCAAGAATGAAGCTGAGTACTGAGGTGCTCCAGGGAAGGCAGAACAGTGACTCTGAAATCTAATTTTCCAGGAAAGATTTGGCGTCTATATGCAAAAACTACCGAAAGCTGCATTTGGAAAACATGTCAGTGCTAACTCCAGTGGGTTCAAAGCCAAGCTAATGGCCCCTCTCTTTAAACTTGCTCCTCTGTTTACACTTGCATCTGTGACCACTCTCAGAGTAGCTGTTCAAAAACTCCAACTGGAAGTCAGCGCTGCTGCAAGTCTCATCCCCGTGACTGTCACAATGTGTGGGCCAGCAAAGTGTGTCCCAGGCACTGCTTGTCCTCTGGTGTGGGCGCCAGGCTCCCCACCCCCACCCCGCTGCTTCCTTCCAGCCCGCCTGTGGTCCCTGTCTATAACTACAGACCTACAGACCAGACTCCAGACCACAAGATTTGAAATACACACTGCTCCTCTTACTCTGTGTACTCTGTTCCGTGAGTCTGCTTCATAGGTTCCATGGGGTATCTCTGATTTGTGACTTCCCTTCCTTTGGGTACACGCGCAGTATGGGGTAGCTGGATCTTACTGTAGTTTGATTTCAGTTTCTGTTCTCCACACAGCTGTACTAATCAACATCCTCACCAGCAGTGTGTCAGGGTCTGTTTCTCTCCGTATCCTTGCGGCATTTGTGACTTGCCTTTGTGACGGTGGGGGCAGTGTGATACCTCATCCCCGACGATGAGTGACGCTAGGCGTGTTTTATAGACCTGATGGCCATTTGTGTGTCTTCTTTTGCAAAATGTCTGTTCATACCATTTGCCCATTTTTAGGTCACGGTGTTCGTTTTCTTGCTGTGGAGTTGCTGGGTTTCCTGCGTATCCTGGGTGTTGATCCCTCACAGATGAAGAGTTTACGCATTTTCCTCCTTTGATTTGGGTTGTCTTTGCACCCTATGGATTGTTCCCTTTGCTGTGCAGATGTTCCTTCCTTTGATGCAATCACATTTATCTAGTTTTGCTTCTGCTGCTTCTACTCTTGGGGCATTAGCCAAAGGAATCATTGCCTATGCTGAAGTCCTGAAGTGGTCCCCATGTTTTCTTCTAGTGGTGTCACAGTGTTGGGTCATACTGAGTTGGGTTTTGTGTATGATGTGAGGCAGGGGGCTGGTTTCAGTCTTGGTGCATGGGCTTTTCAAGTGTGACTTATTGAAGAGACTGTCTCCTATGAGGTGTTGATCCTTCTTTCTGGGATCCCGGCTATATTCCCCTGGCCGCTGAGTCTGGCTTTCTGACAGTGCCACACTGTGTGTCGATGACTCTGGTGTATTTTGAAGTCAGGTAATGTCATGCCTCCAGCGTTGTTCTTTTTGCTCAGGACAGAATTGTCTGTTCAGAGTCTTTTATCATTCCATATGAATTTTAGGATTTTTTTCAGTTTCTGTGAAGAATGTCACTGACATTTTGATGAGAACTGCAATGAATCTGTGCATCACTTTAGCTAGTATGGACATTTTCACAATGTTGTTTCATCCAATCCAGGAACATGGAATGTCTTTCCAGTTTTTTTTTTTTTCTGTTCTATTCCATTTGATTTATCAGTGTTTTGTAACTTTCACTATATAGATCAATTACTTCCTTGATGAAATTTCTAGAATTTTATGGTTTTTTAAAATATTTATTTGTTTGAAAGTGTGACAAAGACAGGAATGGAGTGGGGGCAGAGAGAGAGATCAATCTTCCATCTGCAAGTCCAGGGCCCAAATGGCCACAACACCCAGGACTGCCACGTGGGTGGCAGGGGCCCAAGCACTTGGGCCATCATCCACTGCCTTCCCAGGTGCTTTAGAGGAAGTTGGATCAGAAGCAGTGCAGCAAGCACTTGAATCGGTGCTGCGACATGGGGTGCTGGCATCACAAGTGTTGGCTTAACCCAAAGCTCCGTAACAGCAGACCAAGAATTTTGGTTGTTTACAGCTATTATGATGGGGTTGCTTCCTCGGTTTCCTTCTCCACAAGTTCATTATTGGTGGATAAAAAATGCTACTGATTTTTATGCATTGATTTTGCAGTTTGCTGAGTTAGTTTATCAGCCCTGATGGTTTTTGGGAGGATTAGGAAGGTTACTATACCGAGAATCATCTCATCTACAAGCAGGGTGACTTTACTTCCTCCTTCCCTATGCAGAGACCTCTTATTTCTTTCTCTTGCTTAGTGGCTCCAGCTAGCACTTCCAGTGTTATATTAAAAAAGACCAGTGAGAGTGGACAACTCTGTCTTGTTCTGGATCTTAGAGGAAATTATTTCAACTTTATTCATTGATTTTAGCTATGGGTATACAATATACTTCAAAAAGTTCATAGAAAATGGAATTAAGAGATAAGTTTGGTAGAAAAACAACTTAAAAACTATGCAAACAAGGATCTTCAAAAATTAATGGGTATATA